GGTTTTCAGCGTGCTAATCTTGGTGTTTTTCCTAGTAATTGAAACCGCTATTTAGCAAATAAAAAGCGACCTAGCTTCGTGTCGCTTTTCAAAAATGAAAGCAGGTTCTAGTAGAACGTTTCAATGCATGAAGTTGGACATGTATCTTGTCGATGCACAGGTACATTTTATGAAACACGAAACTCTGGGTGGGAGTTAGAGAGGGAACTTAGAAAGCGCTCATTCTTCTCCTTGCACAATCCAAACAGTTAAGGCACTACCCCTCTCATAATTGTCTGTATGAAATTATGCTTTTCATCAACAATGATTTGTTGTGATGTTGATTAGTGGATTTTTTTGGATGGAGAAGGTAATAAAGCAGTGTTTTCCCACAAACCTCCTCTTCAATTATCAGTGGTTATATTACTTCGATAGCTATACATTGCACCGAGAAACTCACCGGACGCTTGAAATACTCCTGTGTACACGGGGCAAAGGGGAAAAAGCGAAAAATGGGTCAAGTCTGATATTTTGCTCAATGATGACGTCAATGTTTGATGCATCAGATTGCGAAGTACAAAAGCTTGCTTCGCTCAATAAACTGAATGCAAACCACACTTGCAAACTACCGGATATTTTAGCATGTTGCCCGTTGTTCTCAAAGAAGATGCTCCGAAAAACCTGATTGCCTGGATGGTAGTTCTTCGGTAAAGGGAACACCATTATGCACAAGTGCTTATATCGTCATGGTGCGTCGCGCTATCACAACTACAACGAGCATTTATTCGGACAAGAACTCAGTGAAAGAATAATAGCTGTTTTTTTTGAGAAACTTCAATAAAATGAACTTTGATGTATGAGTACTGATTTGACAAAAAAACAACAAAAAATAATCGCAGAATACCAGTTAATGTAATCATCAGAAACTGATTGTGATCAATTTAATCGCTTGTGGATTGGAAACGTTTGACCAAGCGGAATGAAATCTGCAATAAGCATGAATTTCCAAGAGTCAGTAAATGAACATTGCTGAATTGGATCTTTCTTACCTTCAAGTTCATCATCAATGTCCTCCTCAATAGCTTCATTATCGAGATCCTCGTCTTCGTCGTTGCTCAGATTGTCTTCGGATTTCTCAACACTTTGATCCGTTTCTACTGCGTTGCTCTCAGGATCCTGGGTACTTGGAAGGTCGTTGTTTAGGTTATCTTCAGCTTCTAAAATGTAAATTTTTAAGACAGTGTGATGTGAATTTCTTTAAATCGAAACAACCGCACATAGACAGACAGTGGAAACGCGATGCTCGTAACCCAAGTAAACGGAAGTGATTTTTATTTGGCCAAAAATTGATAGAATGCTCCTTGAAGATACGAATTAAAAAGAGAAACTAGCGAAAGACGGGACCTATCGGACCCTAAAACAAATCTGTAGAATAATTTTAGTAACCAGGGACGCCGTTTCACCAACACACCCACATGGCGTACTCGGTGGAACTTGCACTGTTCTCTTAAGAATAAATGTGGTTCACGTACCACGTTCAGCAACTGGAGCAATTACAGACAACGAACAAATCGAATCGGTACCAGACCTGGATTTCATGGTAAAATTGTAAACAAGCATTAGAAGTGCTAATCAAGCCCATTTGGCTCCACGTTAAACATGCATCCCAAAAGCAATTGGTTTGATTTTCAATGACACACCAAACACGTTCTCTACCGATTTCATTCTCAATGAATAACAACAAAGTTTCGATGCTGAAGAAGCGCCAATCTGTTCCAATGGCAAATCCTTCAACACATTGTCGATCAACGAAATAAATATATTCTCAGAAGGGCCATAACTGACATAATACAAGCCTGTACATTGCAAAATCCAAGGATGTTTTGATAATTGAAAGCTGACTATTCATCGAATCCAAATAAGCTCCATATCTAAATCTGTTCGTTTCATCGCATTAAACGTATTAGCATCACGAACGTTTCCATTACACTCCGTAGAAAAAACAGAGAAAGAGGGTCCAACTTTCGAAAAGCAAACCACTAAGAACAGCGTTGCAAATAATACAAACGAAAACGCGTATAAGCACTGAGAAAAGAAGGAAAAAATACAATATTCCAAAAGAGCAAAGCAGACTGGGAATAATAAAATGTCGGAACAAAATTCACAAAAAGAAAGAAAGACGAAGCGACAATTACTACTTTGTTACCAAACTGACATCATGAAAAGAACCGACCTGCGAAAAAACAATAAGAACCAATCAGCAAAAAATGAACACGACAACACTCAGCATTCACATCACGATAGGTTGTGACATCATCATACCCGTCAATGTACAGTCAACAACCATCGCTACTTGCTCACTTTCTGTGCTATGTTCCTGGGTTCCTGCACGCTCATCGGCCTCACGCTCCTGGTCATTATCTCCTCGAAACGGCTGTTCGGTGCGATCAACCAATGTGTTGATCTCCTTCTCCAGTTCACGATATGAACCGCTGTCCTGTGCACCTTGTTTGTCCAAATTCACGATTATGTCAGTCGCATTCGAAGTCGTCTGCGTGTCCTCAGATAACTTGTGCTCAGTAGGTGAATCTAACACATTATTTGCTTCAGTCTCGTTTGTGTTGCTCTCTGGCTTCTGATCGAGCACAACTGGGGTTGAAGTGTTGTTCACTGAAAGGGAAGGTCACTGTTTTAGTGGCTTTCAACCCCTTTTGCTTCGTACGTGCACAAAATGGGTTTCATTCACTCATTTGTATACAAA